GGGGCGAACAAATGGTGATAATCGTGCCTCGGGAAGAGGAGCCATGTGGGATGCAGAACTGTTGACGAGCTTCGTGTAGGCCTTCGAGAACCTAATTGGTATTGCGAGGTTTCTTCGGAAAAATTATAGGGAATTTGACACTGCCCCTATTCGGCCGTCAACACGTAAAAATCCATGCCTATCAACCAGTTAACTGATTACATGGAGCTGGTCCTTTCAACCAAGTTTTTTGGTAGTGATTTGAACGATGATTGTGTTCGTCAGCGTACCCATTTCTTCCGGATACGATTCCCGCTGCATCATCTGGAACAACGTGGTTTCTGCCTTTGGTAACTTACTCTGGGTAAGAAGTCCGGTACAATGGTCAGCAGCAGCATGCTTGCGGGCATTCGTAGCAAATCGATTAACATATGTAATCGCGCACCGGAGCCTGTTCCACGCGGAGTATCGGCTTGCATCTAAAGGGTGTCCACGATGAAATTGCCACACTATGAAATTGCTCTAACTTTTTAACCGTTGGGTAGAATTTAATGAAAATTTGGGTGGATTTAGTTCATAGTGCATTATTTACATCCTGCAAGTTTTAAAGTCCTGTGATCAAAACTCGCGGAAATGGAGTCGAAAGAACAGCTCGTGCGTGATAAAATCTTGCGCATTCATCACGAGAACAAGGATCTCTCGCATCGTTCCATCGCTAAAACGTTGGGAATCGCGAATTCCACGGTGTCGCGAGTGATTAAGCGGTTCGAGGAACGGTTGACCACCGATCGGAAGCCCAGAAGTGAAGGAAAAAGTATTCCGTACAACACCAAAAATCACAACCGCGTAGTTGGGGCCTTCAACCGAAATCCGAACGCCTCCGTTAGGGATGTGGCTAAGAAGCTGCACCTAAGCCAAAGTTTTGTCCAGAAGGCCAAAACTAAGGCTGGGCTTCGAACGTTCAAGGTACAAAAGGCCCCTAATCGCGACGAGAAGCAGAACAAGTACGCCAAAACCCGTGCTAGGAAGTTGTACCTCAACATGCTGACGAAAGTTGAATGCTGCATCATGGACGACGAAACATATGTGAAGGCCGACTTCAAACAGATCCCCGGCAACCTGTTTTTCACGGCCAAGGATAAGTTCAGCGTTCCGGAGCATGTCCGCACTCAGAAGATGTCCAAATTTGCGAAGAAATTCCTGGTTTGGCAAGCCATCTGCACGTGCGGGAAGCGGAGTGCACCTTTCGTGACCCAGGACACGATGAACGGACAGGTGTACATGAAAGAGTGCCTCCAGAAGCGGCTGCTTCCTCTCCTGAAGGCCCACAACGTCCCAACAATCTTCTGGCCGGATTTGGCCTCATGCCACTACTCCAAGGACGTGCTGAAGTGGAATGTTCAACCCTCCCAACACTCCGGAGCTCCGAGAAGTACTGGGTGATTATGAAGCAGCACCTTCTTAAACGACCTAAGGTAGTGAAGACAGTCGAGGAACTGAAGAAAGTATGGGTTTACATGCAAAAAACGGTTGATTCACAGGTTGTGCAGAATCTTATGGCCGGGGTTAAGGCCAAGGTGCGGGCATTTGCGTATGGACTGTAAATAAAATACGAGTAAAATGGTAAAATGAAGTTTAATAGTTATTTCTCAATCCCTGAAAATTTGATGGCAATCGGATGAAAACTCGAATTTTGCGAATCAATTTTGTGTGTGGCAATTTCATCGTGGACACCCTTTACGATTATTTCTGGTGTGCGCCTTTCTTGATGTGTGTAACACAGGCGTAGCTCTTCTTCCCCTGGACTCTCGAGTACTGAACGTGGCCATTGGTGTCCTGGAAGCTGAAGAAATTTTGGGCCGCTGTGTTTCGTTGTTTCCAGCATTTCTCGATGTTTCCAGGACCTGTGAGGATCCCTTTTGATCCAGGTATGGTTAGTACTGGCAGTACCGCTTAGTAACTGAGAAGGTTTGGCCATCCACCTTATGCACGATTGCAGCACACAGGCCTGGAGCTCTAATCTGGGAAAACTCAAGCCTGAGTGCCTGAGTGGAGCTACTTTAGCTTTGGCAGCAACCAACGATACCACTACTTCTCCTTGAGCGTTAACTATTCGAAAATAACAAGCGCAGGAATAGGCAGCTGGACTAGAATCCATAAAGACATGAAGCTGGACATTCTCAAAGCTGAAGCGGTCTGGATGGCGAAAGTAACAACGGGGAATCCGAACTTGATATATGTCACGTCTGCAATGGTGTCATGTACGAAGGTGATGGTGAGTCTAGGCGGTTGTACGTTCCGGAGTCTATGGAGGACTAGATCATCCGTTCGGCTCATGAAATTGGTCATTTTTTAGTCAAGAAGGCGAAGGAGAGTATCGATGCCGATTATTTCATACTAGGACTGGAAGAGAAGATCAAGCGTTGTATTGCAACATATGTCGCTTGCATCGTCGGTGAAAAGAAAAGAGGAAAACACGAAGGCGAGTTACATCCTATCCCGAAGGGCGAGGTTCCGTTGGATATCTTTAATGTCGATCATCTAGGACCGATGCCATCAACCATCAACGACAACTATAGCCTGACAGTCATGGACGGCTTTACCAAGTTCGTACGGCTATTCCTGACGAAGTCAACAACCGCTGAAGAAGCCATTCGAAAGCTACGATGCATTACCGATACCTTCAGTAACCCGAGAAGGATTATTTGCAATCGAGGAGCAGCTTTCACTGTTCGAAAAAATCTGTGAAGATGAGAACATCGAGCCGCATAAGATTGCCACCGGCGTTCCAAGTGGCAATGGGCAAGTGGAACGAGTTAATCGAATTATTATTCCGATGATCACCAAGATGTCCGTCGATAAACCTAAAGAGTGGTTCAAGCAAGTTACTGCCGTTCAGAAATGCTTGAATAATAGATGGCAAAGATCGATTGATATGACACCCTTCCAACTACTCTGACCGGCGTAAAGATGCGCACCAAGGAGGACCAAATTCTTCACGAACTGCTGCAAAAGGAATTGCAATGTACCTTTTGTAGAGGAAAGGAATGAGTTGAGAAAGATGGCGCAGAAGGGTATCCAGAAGATGCAATAGGAGAATCGCAAACATTACAATTTACGCAGGAAGCCGGCTGAGAAGTATCAAGGTGGAGATCTTGTGGCGATACCGAAAACCCAATTTTGTATTGGTCAGAAGGTGATGCCACAGTTCTTTGAGCCGTACGAAGTCACCAGTGTACTCCTAAACGATCGTTACGAAGTTCGGAAGATCGATGACGAAACCGAAGGACCTAAGAAGACATCATGGCTTAAAGCTCGTTTCCCTGGGTATAGTCCTGGTCCAGATCATCTGCTGGTGACTGCATCAAATCGTGGACACTTCCGGGTCGGAAGTAGTGTCAGGAGAGGCCGTGTGGGAAGATCAAGTAGCCCCTCGGCATAACTTGCGGAAAATTCAGTTCTTACCAAAACGTTACGCAAAGTATCTCGCGTGTTCGCGTTGTAACAATTAATTTGATAATAAAGTTACTTTTTCGGTATTCACTCAACTCTAAAACCTTCCGTCTTATATGTATATCGCACGACCGGGAAAACTTCTTTTTCGTATGTTCCTGGAAGCCCTGGCCATGACCATTTGAGGTCCAAATTTAGTCAACAATTTATAATTCATGCCTTTACTACGAGCCGTATTGATTCAAGTGAATCATCGTTTCATGGCCTGCTACCATTTTTACGTTACGGATCATCCTGAAGACCTGCTCATGACCATCCAAAACACAGATTCAGTTCTTAATCCAAAATTCATACACTTTTTAGGAATAATTTTGCTTGGGTCTCTTCTAGGAATGATCTAAATCTTTCGGAAGGCGATTCAAGGTCCACAACCTCAAATTTACACATTAACCACGAAGCCTTTAAGCGACTTTATAAGAATTATGGTTTTTCAAATTCGGTTTCATGGAGTGGAAATTTTTACGGATGTTTCGGATTTTTCTGGCCTTCCAGAGTCCAGATCGTGTTTTAAATTTAAATTTTATATTGATTTTGAAAATCGTAGCACATAAGCGATTTATTTTCTGCTTCGATTTTACGCACCCCATTTTTCTTCAACAAATGGTTCTCAGAAACTAATTGTCTCAGCTTGTGTCAAGCACGCTGGTAAATCGACGCAGTCGAAAAGATTGACATAATGACGCTGGCGAGTTCGATCCCTATTTGGAAGACCCTAGATTCACTTACGTAAAGCTTCCTTTCGTCGTTAGCTTTCATCCCAATACTTAACCGCCACAAATCAAGAAAACCAAAAGACCTTGACCATGGCAATTAGGTGAACCACTTAACCTGTAACGAACGATGGCCAAGAAGGTATATTTAGAAGGCTCGAAAGTTTTATTTATCCGATTTTAAAGTTTCTCTTTTCCCTCCAAATCATGTTCTGAGACTAGAAATTACACTCCGCTTAAAACACACAGGAAGATTATAATTACAACCCACCGCGAGCTATGCCGTTTCAGTAATAGTTGGGGTGTTGTTGTTCGGCAGGGGAAACTGATGATTATCTGGAATGACACGCAACTCTTGGTGGGGCTTTTCTCCCCAATATCGAACCACTTTGACCATCCCAAACCAGGAGGAGCCGGAGTAGCTGGCGATAGAAAAAAAAGGGATGAATATTTAATGCATAATCCAAAGAACGGACGCCTTTTCGATTCCACAGGTGCGACTACGGGAAGAGTGTGATTAAATTTTAAGGCGCTTTCCAGCACGATGCATTTGCTGAGAGCAGGGAACGGACATTAGTTTTATTTATGAGATATTTGCTGTTTGTCAAACAGGGTCAATGATTTATGGTGACCATCTTCACACGTCGGGAAGTGTGATAACTAACTCGGGAAATTTATTCGTCCTCGGCCGATCGTTTTCGGTGATAAGTTTATGCATTTTAAATGTCTCTCTCGCTGAAGGAAAACTAAAAATCTAACTTTTGCTATTTTCTCTCTCTCTTTTGATCCATCCGACAGGTTATCCACAGCCCATGTACCGGTGGCTGAAGAACGGTGTCCCGGTGGGAGACTTTGACACTAGTCAATATCTGAAAATTCAAAGTACAACCCGGGAGGATGCCGGTTCGTATCAGTGCCTGGCGAAGAACGATGCCGGGACGATATTCAGCGAGAAGATCGACGTCGTGGTGGCATGTGAGTTGAATGTTTCATAGATTTTGTTTATGCTAGTAGACAATTTGAAAATCCGTGGATCATGCTCTTAATGTAAACATTTATCCAATTTCAGACATGGGAATTTTCGAAGACCTAACAGAGCAGATCATCTCCGTTCAGTCTGGATACCCGGCGATACTAAACCTCTCCCGGATAGAGTCCGTTCCGGCCCCTTCGGTAACGTGGCAAACTGAGGACGGACCGCTGAACTATGACATCAAGTACGCCACGACGGCGAGTAACCAGTTGATCATTCTGAGCGTCGACGAGAACGATATGAAATCGTACCGGGCGCGTGCCATCAATACGCAAATTGGCAAAGAGGAAATCAGCGCGTTCATTCGAGTTAACGTGACGGGAAACTCCTACAGCGAGGTAGCACCGGAGATTATAGTGGAACCGAGGAGTATGAGGGTGGTTCGAGGCGAGCAAACGGTCCAGCTGGAATGCATAGCCAATGCACGGCCGCTACATGAACTGGAAACGATTTGGTTGAAGGATGGTATTCCAGTTGAGAATTCTGGCATTTCCTACGCCCATACGGATCCCTGGAACCGAACGTTGGCATTGCTGTATGTGAATCTAACGCATACGGGACAGTACACATGTCAGGTTCAGATGCGTACCGGTGGTCATCCTACGGTGCATTCGGTGGCAACAGTAACGGTCCAAGAACCTCCATCGTTCTTCACACCCTTTCGAACGGAGACCTTGGGTGATTACGGCTCGAAGACGACCCTACCGTGTGACGTTATCGGTGAACCTGTTCCATATGTAACATGGTTCCGGAATGCAGAAGGTCTGGATTTGTCAACGGATCGGTACACGGTACTGGACGACCATTCCCTGGTTATTAAGAAGCTTAGCATGGAAGATTCGGCCATGTTCCAGTGCCTGGCCAGCAACGAAGCCGGAGAGAAGTCCAGCTATACCTGGCTCAAGGTCAAAAGTAAGTATTCTTAATTTTTATCTCGGTTTACTACCGTAAGAACTCTTCGTATAACATCCTACTAAATACCCATCTCTGCATCATGCAATCCCATTTGTGCTCGCGTCCTAATCTCGGATTTAACAATCATCAGATAACAGCAACCATTCATCCGCTCCATCCGTGCTCAAGCACTTGATCCTTTACAATCAGTTTATCCGTAACAAGCGCCTCGCACAGCCAAGAATCATTCGGGTGCGTAATTCTGCCTCAGCATCCGATTCGGCGGCCGTTAGCATCAGTAACACCTCTTCGAACAGCATCTCCACCACCACCACCACCAACAGTACCGAAAGTGGTCGAAGCCGCAAAAAGACGGCGGCCCCTGCTTCTTCGACACGTGCCGAGGACTTCACCTTTGACATTAGACGTAAGATTCGAGTGCCCTCGCATCTCTTGTTATTTCCCGTGTTGATTTTCCTCCCGAAAAGAAATGTTCCATTCGATGCACTTTCGTAGAAAACACACATCAACACAACCACCTTCGTCAGACATTATTCTAGCACCGTACATCTGGAGATTTCCATCACCGTCCATCACCAACCCCCGCAAGAAGAAGAAACCCACAACCACCACCCACTGCTAGTAACCTACCTAATCGGCACCTCATTCCGTGTAGCAGCCTCCCCATTAGCATGCGATTAACTCATAATAACCCATTGTATTATCGTTTGATGTTTTGCTTTGATTTTTCGGTTCGTTCCGTTGATGATTTCAAATTTTACATTTCCCAAAAGACCACATCAGCTCTTTAGGCGCCCCCTCCTAGCCGGTGGGGTCCATTAATCGCACGAAAGATTTGATTGCAGACTATTGCAGCAGCAGTCTGTAGGTATAACAGGCAAACGAAGCTAAATCCGTCGATTGCATCAAGTTTTGGGCCGAGATTTGAATACAATCCGTCGATTGCGAACTCGAAGATATGCGGAATTGCATTGTAAGGTTATGTGAATTGGCAAATCGGTGCTGATTTAGCTGATAGTCGTGATTTGCCAGGTTACATATGCTTAATCAAATTTCTCAATACGGAGGCAGATTTATCGGTTTTTGCTTGTCTCGTAGACTGTTTTTGAGACATTGCAGGTTTTTCCCGGTCCGGTCTAAAACATCTTTCAGGTTGTAAATGCTCTCGGCTTACCTGGGTATGATTGTGCTTGCCACACAATACAGGGTTGGCCCCAATAAGTGAAAATAAAAAGGCGGAACATTGAATCGGAAAGATATTTTGGATTGGTTCTTTTTGGGTTTTGTTACTACTGCTTGTTTCTCCATTTCTCTTAGGTGAGAGTGACTATTGTCGGCAGCCTCTTTTTCTTCGGCAACCTTTCCATTTGTACTGCGTGTTAACCAGCTGTTCTATTATCGGCAACTCAAAATCAGCGGTGTTTTGAAGTGCGTATATTTAATTTAATGAAAAATCTGACATAACTGGATTGCTCAAATTTCACCGATGAAATATTTTAAACCACACAGACTATGGAACTGAAGATCCCAAACTATGTTGCTACGGTATAAAATTTTATCATTTTATGTACTTTAACTTTCTATAAAAGTTACTTCCCTTCCGAAGGAAGGCGTGTTCAGAGATGTTATGCTTCAGAAAATCCCGGCGGCGCCGCTGGGATTGAACCCAGGCCCTTTGGGGGTGAGAGGCAATCACGCTTACTACTACATCACCGTCGCCGCTAACTCATAACTAGGTTTATTTATTTCTGATTCAGTTTCGGTTAAGATGGTTGGATACTACTCATTTTTGAGTACTTATTACAATAAAATCTAGCATTCAGAATCATAAGGGCCTAACTGCGATGATCTGTTCTCCTCATAAATTTTCTCTTTGAATTACTACTGCTAAGTGAACCAATTTCCCGATTATTTTCCAATGCAGTGCGTAAAAAGTTAGCAAATAACAAATATCATAAATTAACTATATGGTTCACTCTTCTATTACCCCCAAGACGCGATTTTCTCCGACACTAGCGCCACTAGTGACACGAAAGGTGACTAATACACTGTAAATTTAGCGCTTAGAATTGACAGCTCAATATCAACAAGCCTATCGTAAACAACTCACAATTGAGTAAAATTTTACTCAGTATTGTGAAAAATTAAAACAATATATTACTCATATAAACGTATACTCCACAGTCCAGTCCACAACACTCAACTTTATCCTTTTTGTTTTGCCTAGAGTCGGTGTATAATGAGTCACGTCAAGAGAAAAACAGTTGAACTCGCATCACGGTTTTCGAAAGATTCCCTTTCTTTTCACATGGCAACAGAGGACTTCTACATCAACTTCAAATGTTGCGCTGAGTTCCTGCAGTTTTTTGAAATTTCTCTATACCTCTGAGTTGAACCGACTCTCTCTGAGATATTCTCAGTGGCCGTGTAAATCGATTGAGTTAACGTTTCTTAGCGTGTTGACGGTTTGCTTCCTGTCAAAGTTGCCAATCTGGTATGTAAAGAGGGATGGTAGATATAATCTGCCTTTTCCTTTATTTGTTTGGTTCGCCTTTAAGCTAATAGTACGTTCAGACTATAGCTGATATCTTGAGGCTATCTGGTAATCATATTATATTACGTAATATCAACTATAGTCTGAACGTAGTTGTTCAGAATTGAAATATCTCAGGATCAAGTCTGGGTATATCGACCCAGCAGATTCTGTGGCTAGACAAATCTGATGGACCTATCCGAATCTTCCAGCTCAAAACAGTCACCTACGGGACCTCTACCGCACCCTATCTCGCCACAAAGTGTCTCCAGGAGCTCGCAAAGCAGGGTCAGTCGTCTCATCCTGCTGCTTCAAGGGTTCTTGCGAACGACTTCTACATGGACGCCATGATTAGCGGGGCCGAAGATGTGGAAGAAGGAAAGGTGCTACAGTTGGGTTCAGCCTTCGTAAATGGACTTCAAACTCACCGGAAATACTCGAACACATCCCAGCGCATCTTCGAGACGAACGCTCGGTACTCGACCTTGATTCGACTTCTTCCGTCAAAACTCTGGGACTCAAGTGGACCCCCGCCTCCGACGAACTCGGGTTCCACGTACCAAAATGGAACAAAGATGATGTCATCAAAAAACGCATCGCCCTTTCAGATTCCGCTCGCCTGTACGACCCTCTGGGACTCGTAGGGCCCGTCATCGTGCTTGCCAAGTGCTTCATGCAGAAACTCTGGACGAATAAGAAGACTTGGGACGAACCATTGGAAGAAGAGCTCCAACAACGCTGGGTGCAGTTTAGGAGCGAATTAATAGCAGTCGAAACAATCGCTGTTCCACGTTGGGTGATACCAATTCCACAACCAGTCGTCATAGAGACACACGGATTCAGTGATGCTTCTCTACGAGCATAAGGTGCCTGCATCTATCTCCGTGTGGTGTCACCCAGTGGACAAATATCCGTACACCTCCTCACATCCAAATCAAAGGTCGCTCCACTGGGAAACAGCAAAAATCAAAAGAAGATCAGTCTTCCACGTTTGGAACTTTTTGGTGCATTGCTCCTCAGCCACCTCTTCCAGAAAGTCCAGCACAGTTTGAAAATTGATCAAAAGTGCTTCTACTGGGTTGACTCCACCATCGTGCTACATTGGTTAGCTGAAACACCATCACGATGGAAGACGTTTGTAGCAACAGGGTCTCCGAAATACAGCATATCACTATGCGTGGCAATTGGGGACACGTGGCTGGACTAGAAAACCCGGCGCTAGTTCGTCTGGTGGCTTACTTACGAAGATTTAGCCATAATTGCAAGCCTGCTAACCGACAGGATCAAATGAAGGGATTTCTCCGAACCACGGAACTCAACCAAGCAACCTACACTCTCGTTCGCTTCGTTCAAGCCGAGTCATTTCCGAACGATCTACGAGCCATTCGTTCCGATGGACAAGTCAAGCCGAACTCAAAGTTGAAATCACTCTCTCCGATCATCATCGACGGCATTCTGCGTATCGGTGGCCGGCTTCGAAACGCGCCTGTTTCCGAAGACCGGAAGCATCCGATCATTCTTGTTACGCACTATCACCTCCTATCACGAAAAGCTGCAACATGCTGGTCCACAGCTATTCATCGCAAGCGTGCGAGGGAAATACTGGCCACTGCGAGTACGCAACCTGGCGCGGAAGGTAGTTCATGCTTGTCTAAAGTGCTCTCGAACAGATCATAGGCGATCTACCAGCTGAACGCGTCACACCAACGTTTCCGTTCTTCAACACTGGTGTCGATCTGAGTGGGTCACTCTTCTATCGGCACGCTCCGAGGAAATCGTCTCCTGTCAAGTGCTACGTCGCAATATTTGTGTGCCTTGCGACAAAGGCGGTGCACATCGAGCTTGTAGCGGATCTCTCGACAAATGCGTTCATCACTACCCTAAAACGAATCGTTGCCCGGCGTGGCAGGTCAGCAGTCATCGAATGCGATAACGCTAAGAACTTTGTAGGACATCACGACGCTAGCGGAACTACACGAACAATTCCGCTCGCAGCAGCACAAGCACGCTGTAACCACTTACTGTGGTGAAGAAGGAATCCACTTCAAATTCATTCCCCCGCGCTCTCCCAATTTTGGCAGACTTTGGGAGGCTGCTGTGAAGTCCTTCAAGAAACATTTTAAAGCAACAATCGGGACAACAGTGCTGCTCAAGGACGACATCGAAACGCTCCTGACGCAGATAGAGAGCTGCCTAAACTGCCGTCCATTGACTCAGCTGACGTCCGACCTAGATGGTTTGGAAATTCTAACTCCAGGTCATTTTCTGGTTCATCGTCCACTGGTTTCCATCCCAGAACCATCCTATGAAAAAGTGCCGAAAAATCGTCTCGACCGTTACCAGCAAACTCAAGAATTCGTCCGACGCATTTGGAAGCGTTGGAGCATGGATTACCTTTCCTGACTCCACCCCCGCACGAGGTGGACTCGCTTGCGGGATAACATCAGCATCGGGACGATGGTGCTGCTAAAGGACGACAATCTTCCGCCGCTCAAGTGGCGCTGTGGCCGCGTGACCCAGATATTCCGCGGTGATGATGGAAACGTCCGGGTAGTCTCCGTCCGAACCCAAGATGGCGAATACCAGCGCGCAATCACGAAGGTTTGCGTGCTTCCTGTGCAGCAACCAGCATCCGCTGGGACCAACGATCTTCTATCCGAGATGTAACAGCATGCTCAGCACTGCGGCGCTTATGTGTTGTCCAATATTCTAACAGTTAGCACAAAACTATTGCTTCTTTTCATTCTCGACCACAATCACACCACCGAGACTGGCTCCACTGGCACCCTGGTCCTACGATGACCCCTGGCTTCTCAAACCAATGACTGGCCTCGATGAACTTCCAACAAAAGTACGAATACTCCCTTCGAACA